TTGTCAAATTTATTTCAAAAATTTTTTTTGTAATATGCTTTCTATATCCTTTTAAATTCTGTAAAATCTGTGGTAATGTCTCCTACATCTTGATATTGTAATTTTAAAAATGTATAATTGATACTGTGTAATAGGAAAAAAAGGTCTAAAAGAGCAGGGTAAGTGGGAGGGGTAGGGGAAAGGAAAAAAGGGAAAAGAAAAAATAGGAGAAAAGGAAAAAAATGGAAACAAAGTCTTTGCAAATAGGGAAGGGTGGAGGAGGTGAGGGGAGGGCAAGGGAAGGGGAAAAAAATAAGAACCAAGAGACCCATGTAATGGTACAAGATCCCAATGATGAATGTAACTGTATTGTATACCTAAAATGTACCAATAAACTTAATGGGGGAAAAAAAGATAATTGAAAGGGTCATTAAATAAATAAAGTTCCACTAGTACTAAGTGATAAATCTTCTGGATCAGAATTTCCATAAATGTTCACTACCACTAGTATGTGCATTTGTGTGAGAGGTAGGGGATAAGAGAGCAGTAAAACATAAGGCAGCATATGTATTCCTCCACTGGACTGGACTCTTCCACCACTGAAGGATTATCTGCCAAGTAATTACTACTGCCCATCAGGCAGCAATGAGAGGCTGGGCAAGAAGCCTGCCAACCGATGAAGGGACAACAAGCACATGACAAGGAAAGCAGCAGATCCAGGTTCATATAAGTGCTAGAAGAAACGTAAAAGAGAAAGATATGACAGAAAGTTATCCTTCTTGGGCTGGAACTTGAAGCTGTGACGTAGAGAGCAGTGATCAAAGGAACACAGGCTGAAAGGAGAGCAGAATAAAGGTTTTTGAGGCAGAAACAAGCTAGGCTGGTTTGAGAAACAGAAAGAGCAGGGTGGGAGAAGGGGATAGCACTAGCTGAACTGGGCAAGGCAGGCAGGCCCCGGTCACCCAGTGCTTTTTAAACCAGGGCAAAGAGATTGGATTTTACTCTACAGGTAACAGGAAACTATTGAAAGGAATTAAGCAGAGAAATGACCTCTTTCACAAGATGAAGTTTTGCTTTTTTTTTACAAAGTACATTAATGTAATGATGGCATCTATGACTTAAGCTGAGACCTCATAAAGGCCACCACCCATTGGAGGGAACCAATGAAATACCAGGGCTTCCTCCACAGGGCCACTGTGAGAGGAGCTGCAGATGCACGGGACAGATGCCAGGGCATCTGCTCAGTCTAGAGGGAGAAAGATGTCCTGGCAACTCAGGTGGCAGTGTGACATATCAACAGCAGTGGAATTACAGGGAGAGATCGGAACTGAAGACAGGAAGGAGCAGGACCCACTGAAGGAGTCACAGAGCAGAATGAGCCCTCCCCAAGCCAGTTACTTAAGGGGCATTGTTCAAAACAACCTTACCCTCCTCACCCAAGCCTGACATACATGTGAGCAAGCTCTTTCCTAAGCCCCTCGGATGCTGAAGAGCAGGCCCAGGGGAGTGGGTCCTCTGTGCCAAGAACAAACTGGCCCAGGATTCTGGAAATACCACTATGAGAATCAGGAATGGTGGCTTCCTTCACCTTCTAGAAAGCAACACAGTAAAGTGACAACAGATGGAATTAAAGAAGGCACATCTCTTCCTTTTACCTTCCAAGGATTTTGCTGTGCTCCACTGTCCCACTTCCCTTTGTTTTCTCCCTGGTTCCTACAGAGAATTCCCCAACAAGAGGCAAAAACCTCAGAGCAAAAAATTGCACCTCTGTGCCAAGGGGATGGCTTCTTTTAAAACTATGCTGGTTCTCTTCAAAGCTCCTTAGGACTTGTGCCCTGTTGGCAGAATTAGCAATGAAGAACTGGGGCTGTGCTCGTTCTTGGCGGGAGACTTGAACAACTTCCCCAACCCACAGACTCACGGGTGTTCTGAAGATTAAAAGTACAAATGCAAAGAAGGTCTTATGCATAAAAAAGCATGCATCCACTATCTACTACATGCTGAGTGTTAATAAACGTAAGATTCCATGTTCACTAATATACTGTTATTATTAGCTCACTGGGGATTATATGAGAGAAGGGAGAAATCACTGAATGGCATTTTACCTTAACACTTTCTGAAGAAGACAGAGAGAGGGAAAGCAGGCTGGATCTATTTTGTGCCCTGGTTAATTTTGGACACAACTGCACACCAGCTCTGCCAAACAATAGAAGGCACTAGAAGAAACAAGCTGAAAACAGATATCCCCAAGGCTTTCAAATACAATGCCTGAGTTACTGCATTTCAAACAAACTGGAAGCCAGGTAAAGGTGACCTTTCACTGAGCCTGGAGGGTGTTAAAACCATCTTCTGCTTCTTCCTCCTTTCCCTACCTTTCCTCTCCTTCTACCTCCTTACCCAACATTCACTCTGCTTCCAGCGCCTTCCCAGATTAGTGCTGGATGGAATGCCATCATTTTGCCACGGGACTGACAAGAAGCATAATTCTGTAACTTCTATCCATCATCCACAGCGATGTCAGCTCTCCCTAAAGACAGGTCATTTACCAATGGGCTGGACAGGCCAGATTCTATGTACCCAGATGAACTGAGTTTCTCCCATCCAATCTTCAACTCATTCTCCTGCTTCCCATGTTAAAATCTAATAAAAGGCACAAGGAGCTATACACCTAAGTGTATGTTCTCAAGAAAATTAAGTTCAAAGCTTGGGGGGGGGCATATTAAGTAAAAGGGAATGTCTTTGGGCCACTGCCATTTTGATTCTCATTCACTGTGCTGTCATTTCCAGTCACTTTTCTGATGGCTTTGAACTTCTGAACAAGAGAGTGCTGGAAATGATGACTAATGTTTTTCATGGGATAGACAAAGTATTACTTTCTGCAGCTGCACTTTTAAGAGAATGTATATGCTAAGGGTACTAAATTTTCAGTACATTCACTTCCTAACAAACACACATAACCAAATAATTTAAGAGAAGCAAGTTTCTCAGTTACTAAGATAACTAAGACCCAGGGAAACAAACACACTGGTGTGTGAGCCTTTACGTATGATACTGCAACCACAATATTTCAGGGCATGTTGGTAACACACATCAAAATACTGTATTAAGTATACATTCTTTCAGCCAAGAATCCCACTTACAAAGATTTACCATATGGAGGTAATCCCAGGTGGAGAACTAAACAAAACAATATGCAAGAGAGGAGTGGTTACAAGTGTTATGATCCATCTACATAATAAAGCAGCCAGGAAATATATGATCACTGAAATAAAATGGCATCCTCAACACAGAGTTCAGTGGGAAAAGCAGCAGGCTACAAAATAGCATGGAAGGACTCTTTCCATTTATGTAAAATATATCCATGAGCAAGCATCTATGTATACAGAGCTAGCTGGAGAACATTCACCAACCAGTTCATGGTGCCTGCCTCAGGGGAGTGGGATTCTAGAAACCTTTGACTTTTTCCATGTACTTTTCCATATCATCCAATTCCTTACAATGATCATGTATTCTTTTCTTCCACAAAACAACAAAGTTACATGTGTTTTAAAGCTCCAGAAAGGAAATGATTTCTAATCATAGAGCATATTCCTGGAAATCCAAATTTCAGATAAATATTTGTATTTTGACTTGTTTCTTTTCATAAAGGTGAACACCATAATTTCTGAGATATGTTTTCTGAATAAACATGGGCCTATCACAAAAATTAATTAAAACAATTCACAAGAAATAAATTTTTTTTCTGGTGCTGGAGATTGAATCTAAGACCTTGCACATGCTAAGCGAGTACCATATTCTGAGCACCACTGAGCTACTTCATCACCCCTAAGACAACTTTTTAATCAAAACATGTATAGTCATGCAAGTGCCTTCTCTTTATATACTTTTCCATGTGTTTTCACCCACATATCACTTCTCCCAGTGTTCACAGACCTGAGGTAGATGTGAATGACAGAACAGTCATTATTTTACAATGAAGGAACTGATTTAGAGAATACCTGCCTAACACTAAGGCCAGAGCTAGTTTTCCTGACCTGTTTTCCTTTCTTTATATTTAATTTCATCCACTTTAAAGAAAAACAAAAAAGCAAAAGTCAAGGTGGGGTTTTTTTGGTGTTGTTTTGTTTCCCCTATTTCAAAACAAAGTAGCTTCCAAGAACCTGTTCAAAAAAGTATCAACTGGTCACCAAAAAAGAAAAAGTAGAAATATATAAGGTGGCCTTGTGAGATGCCTAATTACCCAAGATGCCTAAGTTACTGTTATCAGTGATCCTTTACATTTCCCTCCTTGGATTTCATATTTTCTAAGTTATTTTTACAAAATATATATATATATATATATATATATAAAATAATAACTAATGTTCCCTTCTGCATTAATCAAAGGCATATTTATGTAGTAGCAATGGCGGCTTTTAGTAGCATGAGAATAAAATCAAACTTCTTGCAAAAAGTAAAGGCATTTAGTATTTTAGCCCTAAAAATGGAAATCCTATCAATGGTAAAGTTATGTGTTTCTCAGAATTAAAGAAACAAAGCCTAAATACTCATACTCTCTGCCTCGATCTCTGGGAGACAATGGTCCCCCAGGCTCAGAACCCTTAGTCCACACAACTTAGGAAGCCATACTCCATGAAAAATAACAAAAAGTAAATTTCCTACAACAAAACCTCTGTAAGCCTCCAAAAGCCAAAGTGAATAAGGAACCAATAGCTTCTGTGGAGCAGAAGGCTGTCAATGAATATTTAAGACTCAGCCTCAGTAGTCTCTCAGAATCCCCAAACCACTAAAAATATTCTAAAGAAACAAATTCCATCTTTAAAATAAAGAAGGGGTCATAACTTGCACAAATTTTCAGAGAAAATTTCTACTTCACATGTTAAACACCGACTGATTTTAAATGAAAGTGATAACTAAATAACTGCAATAACATCATACAATGTTATTTCCACACCTCTACTGAAAACTGAATAAATGCTGCTGCCCAAATTACAGAAGGGGAAATGCAAACCGCCCTTCCATCCTAATGGCCTAAGTCTTCATTTCAAATAATTGTCCCTCAAACTCCTATAATCATTAACCCAGCTAAATATATAACCAGACATGACAGCCCTCAATTTCACAAAAGCACTCCAGAAAACTAGAAGTTAGGACTAAAACAAAAAACCTAGCTCAAAATATGTAGGCAAGGACATAATCTTCTTGGCAGGCTTCAGGAAGTAGCCAAACACCTGCTGATATTTAGACTGCCCTTACTAATAAGTCCGCCCTCCCTCTTAGATTTCCAACCCTCCTCTTGAACAAGAGAACATAGCTTATTTCAGAAGGATAGAGCTCACATTGCATAACACCTAAACTGCAATCTCTTCTCTTGACCAGAAAGATCATTTTTATAATACTTTCCTGTTTCAATACCACCCATCAGATTTTTACCTTTATCTAAAAATGCATGTTAAATATTCAGCTACATATGGTGTTGCAGAAAGAAAACCACAGCTCAACCTAGACCCCTACTGCAATTAAAGTTTACAAATGTATAAAAGCACCTGCCATCAGGCTACGTATTCAACATGCACTAATCTGTTTAATTCTTATGATAACTACATGAAGTGGGCACAGAGAAGGTGCAGATAATACTCAGCCACACCTGTCCCTATGGGTAGGTAAAGTCAGAGAAAATGGAGACACAGTTCATTTTAGAGGTAGGAAGGACCAAAAAAAATGGGGTTTTTTTCCATATTTAAATAAATTAGGGAGCCGGGGATTTAGCTTATTGGTTCTGCCGCCAGCCTCACAAGCAAAAGGTCCAGAGTTCGATCCCCGGTACCAATAAATAAATCAATTAATTAATAAGGGAAAGATAAAATATTGTTTAGCTAACATGCTTCATGAAATTTCTGGAGCCTTTAAAAGGAAAGAAAAAAGGGCAGGGCAAAGGGGTAAGAGAACCAGACATTCTGAACTCATTTCTCTCATTTAAAGGTAGGTAAAAGATAAACAGGGTTGAACTAATAAATAATGGAAACCAGAAGACTTTAGGAAGAAGGAAAACTATGTAGCAGAATGTCCTACTAAAGGTCTAAGTAGAAGACACACCCAAGTGAGCACAAGAAGCCACCTGCAGGGAACCCCGGAACACTGGTATACTTAGAGACCGGCCCAAAGGCCAAGGCCATGCTGGGAGGTAGGGAGCCAGTGACTAAGACACTGCAAGAAGCAAGAAATGGTCACAGGAAGTAAAAGTAAATAATTAAAATGGCAAATGGAAAAAACATGTCAACCAAAGGCAGGATGTGCAGAGAAGGAAAAGTCCTATTCTAAGTTCCAAGCCCCTAGAGCACGTTGGCAGAGTGAGTGCAGAAATGAGAAAAGTTCTGATGCCTTAAGACCCCTCCAAATCCTTAGTCAACAAGACCAAAACCAGACTGGTTATGTTTCTCCCAAACTCAAGACTCCTCACACTACTCCATGTGGCTGTCTAATTTCCAATGATCATCCCTCTTTCTCTTCATGTGATTTGAGATACATTCTTCCCAAACCACTTTGATAGGGTCCTGAAAAGTTTGTGAAGGAAAGAATAAAAGAATGTTTTTCGCTAATGTACCCAATTGAAGAGATTGTTATCCCTTCCAGTTTTGCTCAGATAAGTTTTGTGCAACCTCCTCTTTCTCAACTCGTATGAATAAAATGTATAAGTAAATGGTTTTGAGCAAATTTATTATTTTTATTATTACTAATAATCTTTCCTTCCTTATGTATTATCTCCTGAAAAATATACCCTTAAAATTTGTGCACAATGTTTTAGAGCTGTGATTCTCAACTAGGAGCAACTGTGTGCCACATGGGGCATCTGGCAATGTCTGGAGACTGGGGAAAGGGTGTTGGGACACCTAGTAGGTACAGGCCAGGGAGGCTGCTCAGAGTAGTGCAATGTCCAGGGCAGACCCATAACAAGGAATTATCTGGCTCAAAATGTCAATAGTGCCAAGATCCAGAAGGTACAAGGTAAGTTAGAATGGTTTGAGGTGGAGGACTCTTCATAATATAAAATATCTCAATACTCTTTCACAAATGCTACCCTCTTTAATAGACACAGAATCGAAGTGCACACTATGTCTTACAATTTCATAATTATATATTCCATAGGGGAGAGGGTGAAGAGATAATTGTACATGAAGACTCAGAGTTACATGGACCCCCGATGTCATCACATGGGACTGATAGTTTGAGAAACTGATGGTAAATATGTCCTGTAGCTCAGAAGCAGAGTGGGCAGCTCTGATTTCACATTGTAAGCCAGTCTTTTTTTTTTTTTTTGGTACTGGGGATCGAACTCGGTGCCTTGTGCTTGCGAGGCAGGCGCCGGAACCACTGGGCTAAATCCCTGGCCCTTGTAAGCCACTCTTAATCGAATCAGAACACTATTTTATCTTCTGGCACTCTGCCAAATGACAACTGAAAAGTAAAATGTCTTACCAAGAAACAATTCCAATCTTAAAAAAAAAAAACTTTTCTGGTTTTGTCCTAACTTTAGCATTCTCTGCAAAACAAAACTCCCTTGATGTAAACTGCAATCCAGCTAAGATCAGGCCTCTATTTTTCTACATCCCTCCCTTAAAACAAATTAAAAAAAACCCACTGTGGATTATTCCCATCACTGTTCATTGTCATTTATGGGGGGTGAGGAGTGGGAAAGTGTTATGATTCAAAAACTCCCCCAAAGCCACGAATTACATCCAGAAGCAGTAAAGCAAGAAACGCCCCTTAGGCTGTGGAGCAGAAATTAAAATTTAATGCTAAGGATCTTAGCAAAGGAATATCATCCTTGCCAGAGTTATTGTACAACTCCCAATGTTGCTCAAGGATCAACTCCTACTGGCAGACTTCACTCTGCTGCTTGTCCTTTTCTCTTGTATTCCTCAAGGCACACACCACTGAGTGCTGACCCTCGCTGCCAAATCACCACTGGATGAAGTTATCACTGAGTCCCCGCTGGGTGTTGGCGTGTAGGGGAGGGTGGGCTCCTGGATGTCAGAGAGCAGTCTGAGACTGCCCCCATCCTAACTGCGACCCTAGAGCCCCTTCTAGCTTGATCCTACAATTCTCGGGCTCTCCACCCGGCTGATATTAGAAGTCCACTCCACAAATAACACTGGGGGGTCGACCTCAGTCCCAGATGAAGATCAGCCTATTCAAACTCGGATATAAAAGGGACTTTTAAATATCCTAACGTAACTGCACTCTCTTCTAGAAAGTGTATAGTAGACAGCGTTCTGGAATTCTCCAGCACAGGGTCTCAGGAGCCAGTTCCGGAGCAGACAGAGGTGTGCAGGCATGGGCTGCGCTCCCAGGTGTGCACACACAAATGCGCACACTTAAGGCGCAGATCCAAGTGTGCAGACTCGGGGCGCAGACTGGGCCACAGCGCCCCAAGAGACAGATCAGAGCAGGGAACCGCCAAACCCGGGCCACGCTCCCTGCCGAGGTCGCCCTCCCCAACTCACCTCTTCCAGAAAGCTGGTCAAATCGTACACTTTGTAGTGCAGAATCACCCAAGTGCTTTTGTTATTTTTGTGCTTCTGAATCTCTTCCAAGGTGTAGTACTTTACAGTCTGGTCCTCCTGCGCGGCCATCTCGGTAAGCAACGAACCACCCTAGGCCCAGAACACACAGCCGCGCTGGGTGCAGCACAGCCCGTGTCTCAGCCACCTCCAGTCGGGACATTCCCTGTGAGTCCTGGCCTGGTGCCCGTCGCTGGAAGGGTGCGCAAGGGAGGGGCCGGGCAAGGCACAGCCTCTGAGGATTGGTCGACTCCCTCCCCCAGTCCAAGCGCGCCCCCGCCCAGTGTGCGGTAGTTGATTGGCTGTGGGAGGTGCATTTCACAATCACCCGCTGCTAGGGAGCGGAAGGCTGGGCAAGGCAGGACTTCCTTGAGACTGTGTAGTAAGCAGCGGAGAGGTTGCGGTGCTGGTGAAAGCTCTGGCAGTGGGCTGAGGAAAGGCGCTGGGAGCCTTGACCTGCGGAGTGAGGTGGACAAGTAGCGATGGGGCCCTTGTAGGCTCCATCCTTAGTGAGGTCAGCAATCCCTAGGAGTGTTGTTTCCTAATTAAATCAGATCAACTGTAGGGTCCTACGTTGTTTACCTGGTGGAGTGACCCATACCTTCATTCCTGAAGGTTCTGGACATTTGTCACTCTGCCCGAATCAAGTTGTTCTTGTTTCCCATTGACATTTATAATGGGGCATAGTAGTAATAGGAGGCTCCCTAAGGGTCTCTTGCACTCCAAATATATTTCTCCTTCCCTTCATTGTACAATCCCCCTCGACCCCCTCCATGGCTCTATCACCACTGCCAATATCGTAACTCCTTTTCAGCTTGTTTACTCAGAGGATGAGGAGCCCAAAATGACCACAGGGAATACTTAGCTTCCAGTTCAATGGAATCATTGTTTTGCTTCCTGATACAAGCTTCCTTGTTCTGGAATTAAGACTTTTGGCCAGCAGAGCATAACATGGCAACAAGAGGCAAACATTCTGCTAGTGGGTCACTACGGGTAATGGTGAGTTGTAACGTTCCCATTTCCACTCCTTGATTCCTGGACCTATGAATCCTGGCTATGGGAGAAGTAGTACCATATACTGGATGCTAATTCAAAGCCTTCTGGAGAACATAACTCTGGCACTGCAGTGTATTGTCATCCAGATGGCCCTGAAAGTTCATGTTAAAGAGGCCTTCCCACCTTTCTCTCAATCCAACTGCTTCTGGATGGTGAGGAACATGGTAAGGCCAGTGAATTTCATGAGAATGAGCCCATTGCCTCTTTTCTGTGGCCATGAAATGTGTTCCTTGGTCAGAAGCAATGCTGTGTAGAATATCCATGACAGTGCTTGAGGCATTCTGTAAGTCCACAGATGGAAGTTTTAGCAGCAATTTTATGTGCAGGGAAGGCAAATTCATATCCAGTTTCTGTGCCAGCAAAGACAAAAGAGCTGTCCTTTCCATGATGGAAGCAGTCCGATACAAGCTACTTGCTACTGGATCATAGGCTGATCATCGCAGAAAATGATGCTCTATCAGGACTCACTGTTTTTCTCTGTTGCTGGAAGACCAGGCATTCAGCAGTAGCTACAGCCAGGTCAGCCTTGGCGAGTTGAATCCATGTTGCTGAGACCACACATAACCTCCAACCCTGCCACAATAGCCATTCTGTTTATGAGCCTATTGGGCAATTACAGGAGTGGTTCAGACAAAAGACTGACTGCTATCCACAGAACAAGTCATACTACCCTCTTGATCATTAAAGTCCTCTCTGCTGAGGTCACCTGTTGGTTAGCATTTACATGAGACACAAATATCTTTACACCCTTTGCCCATTTGGAGAGGTTTATCCACAAACCTCTTCCCCAAATATCTTTGTCACCAATTTTCTAGTCATGATCCTTCCAAGTTCCTGACTATCCAGCAAGACCACTGGCTACAGCTTGTGAATCAGTATAGAGTCATACAACTGGCCATTTTCTTTTCCAAGCAAGATGCACGACCAGATACACTGCCCAGAGTTCTGCCCACTGTGAAGATTTCCTTTCACCACTGCCTTTCAGGAATGTCCTGGAAAGGGGCTGGACTAGTGCAGCTCTCCACTTTCAGGTGGTGCCTGCATGATGTGCAGAACCATCTGTAAACCAGATCCTAGTGCTCTCTTCCTCTGTCAACTAATCATATAGTACATCCATGAAACCATAGGCATGTGCTGCAGGACAGAAGGCAGTGTAGCAAAAGTAGGCATGGGCACTTGGGCAACTTTTTCATGTAACTTGTGCTTTCCAGATCTGCTCAGGCCCAATCACATATATACTTCTAACATTTAATAATGGATCATTGCTATGCACAATCAACTTTATGATTTGGTGGGTCAGGTGGCACCCAGTTCATGATGGACAGCACAGATTGCAAGGTAAACTGGTGTCCTATCATCAAGCTTTCAATTACCACTAAGGTCTTGTAGCAGGCAGGAGCTGCTTGCCAAAGGGAGAAGAATTGTCTGCATATGATGGCAGAGCCTTGCTCCAAAAGCCTAAGAGCATCTGCTGTGATTCAACCACCATAGGCTCCAAACAGCATCCCTATCTGCCAGTAGCACCTCAAGTACCATTGAGCCTGCTGGTTCATCCCCCAGAGGGAGTGGATCCTGCAAAGCAACCTGGAACAGGTAAAGCCTTCTCTTATTCTGGGTCCCCATTGAAAACTAGCAGCCTTTCAACCCATTCAGAAAATGGGCCAAAGTAATTCACCTATGTGAAGAATGTGTTACCTATAAAATCCAAATAAATAGACTAGGTGTTGTGCCTCTTTTCTTGGTTGTGGGAGGAGCCAGATGCAGTAACTTATCCTTTACCTTAGAAGGGATATCTCTTCTTTCCCCATACCACTGGACTCCTAGAAATTTCACTGAGATAGAGGAACCTTGAACTTCAGTTGGATTTGTTTCCCATCCTCTGGCAAACAAATGCTTTACCAGTAAGTCCAGAGTGGTTTCTATTTCCTGCTCACTTGGTCCACTCAGCATAATACCATCAATATAATGGACCAGTGTAATACACTGTGAAAGAGAAAGATCTTCAAGGTCCACGCAAACTAAGTTGTGACACAAAGCTGGAGAAATAACATACTCTTGAGGTACGATAGTGGTGTATGCTGGCTTTGCCAGCTGAAAGCAAATTGCTTCTGGTGGGCCTTATGGATAGGTACGGAAAAAAAGTCATTTGCTAAATTAATAGCTGCACACCAGGTATTGGAAGATGTGTTAATCTACTCAAGTAAAGAGACCACATCTGGTACAGCAGCTGCAATTGGAGTCACGACTTGATTAAGCTTATGGTAGTCCATCATATTCTCAAGATCTGTCCCTCTTCTGCACAGGCCAAATAAGAGTTAAATGAGATATAGTGGGAACCACCACTTCTGTAACTTTCAAGTCTTTGATGGTGGTACTAATCTCTGTATTTCCTCAAGGGATGCAATATTGCTTTTGATTTAATGTTTTCCTTGGTAGAGGCAACTCTAATGATTTCCACTTGGCCTTTCCTATTATAATAACCCTCACACCACAGGTTAGGGGGTCAATGTATAGATACCCCAGATGCCATATCTACCTCAATTATGCATTTTGGAATTGGGGAAATGACTACAGGATGGATTCAGGGACCTGCTGGACCAACTGTGACTTGGACTGTCTAAAACTCCATTGATCACCTGACTTCCATAGGTTCCTACTTTTACTGGAAGGCCACAATGATGTTTTGGATCTCACTGAATCAGCATTAGTTAGAAACCAGTGTTTAGTAGTTCCCAAATTTTGATCATTTCCCTTTCCCCAGTGTACACTTATCCTTCTGGGAAAGAATGGAAGAAAGATTAACAGTATAACATCTTGATAGTGCCCCAGAGTTTTTTGTAAAGGAAGCACA